CCAGGGGCAGCCCGGTTCCACCCGTGGAGGTGGGCGGGGCAGGCATCCCAGGGCACAGGGCAGGGCCAGGGTCTCCTGGACCAGCTCAGGGCCCATGACCCTCCTTGCTGGGGCGCCAGCTATCACTGCCCTTAACCACACCTCTGGAAAAAGGCAAACCCCAAACGCAGCAATGGCTCCGAGGCAAGTGCTGGTCCTCCCCAGCCCACCCTCCGGGGATCACACGCTTCTGCCCGCCATGAAGAGCCGGGGCCACAGGCCCCCCACTGGTAACAGAGTTCAGGGCCTTCAAGACACGCTGGGCCGGGGACAGACACCTGCTGGCAGAGGATCCTCCTCCCCGCAAGGAGAGAGCAAACACCTGGCGGCCACCAGCCTTGGTAGGAAGGAGGGGAAATGTCAGCCAGGGTCTCACCATTGGGCTGGACAGGGGCTCCCCAAACCTGTCCTCTCTGGTGTTGGGAGGCTCCAAGTGGGCAGGGGGCTGAAGCACAAGGGGCAGTCACACAGGTGCAGACAGGACAGGCAGGGGACGCTGAGGGCTCCCAGGGCACCGGGCGCCGTGTCCTCCCCAGCTGGGCCGAGTCCACAGGGCAGTGCCAGGGCTACCTTGGGTCTGGAACCCATCGGTAAAGAGACGTCAGTGCTGCAGGTTCGAATCTTCCATACGTCATCCAACTTTTATCAAGACAAACGTGTTCAAGTCTTCAATAGGAAAGTGCAAAAGATGTACAAATAAATGAAATCTCTTCTAAGAAGTCATCTGGAAAAGGTGGCGAGGGAGCACGTCCGGCGTGGTTGTGGGGGCAACGCTGTATGGAAGAACACTTGAATTATGATGAGGTGGCACTTCTGGGCTCTGGCCCAGCCGGGCTGGGCCTCGTCCTCCATGTGATGGCATGACTCGGTTTCCCTTTTTGTCCCAAGGTGGCGCTGGCTCCTAAAAAGGCGGCAGCTTTTCTCTCCCATGGGGGTCGGGCATGTGGCCCGGCAGGCGTGGCTGCAAAAGGCAAATCAGTAGGTTAAGCAGGTGGGCAGTTATAGGGGGCAACAGGGTGGCACCCAACAGCCTACAGCAGCTTCTCCGCCTATCACAATCAACTATGATCGGGACCCCCAGCCACGACCTCCCAGCCACAGGCTGCCGGGCCAGACCATGAGCTACACCCAAAGTTCTGAGAGCACCCAGGAAGCAGCAGCGGGCAGGGGCAGCCAGTCAGGAAACCCCTCTGGAGCCTCCACCAGCAAGACACAGTTCCCACAGGGACAGACACAATGTGGTGGAGGCTGCTGGCTCCAGAGAAGAAGGCCAGAGTGAACTGGCAGTCTCTATGAAATAAGCCCCCTCTCTTGGCCAACAACCCCCATAAAACCTTCAGCCACCCTCCTGGTCCTGGGCAGGGAGTGAGGGTGTGAGACAAGATGTGATGTCCGCCACCAGCAGGACAGCAGGGGCAGGACAGGGCTCCACGCAGGGGCAGCAGTCTCTGACTTGCGCTGGGAACACGTGTGCAAATGAGAACACACGTGTACACACAGGAGCTCACCCAAGTCCGCCGACCCCTTCACGTCCTGCCACCCCAGCCTCCCAGTGGACAGACACATGGGCCACAAGGTGGTCCCAGGGCCAAGGGGGCAAGGTAGAGGGGCTCCAGGCAGGTGGTGACTCTCGAAGCCGCCGGAGGCAATAAAAGCTTCAGGACTTAGGGACGGGAGTCAAGTGCAGGGACGGGGCTGACTGTGGCCAGGCCTGATTTGCCAGCAATGGGGCGGCAGGGACGAAGAGCAGCACCCAGCAGCCCTCACCTCAGCTGGAAAAGAGCGCTGCAACACAGGGAAGTCTCGGGGACGGCTAGATATCTGTCAAAAAAAGAGGAGACCGGGCTTGCCTGGCGTCGGCAGCAGCAGGCAGGCCGGGCCCGGCGGGCACCCGTGTGCATGCTGCCCGGAGCGGACGGGCACCTACCGGTCACATAGGGCCCCAGGGGCATCTGGTTGTAGTTGACAATCCCTCCCGGTCCAGGGCCCCGGAAGTTGGGCCCAAAGTTGTTGCTGTACATCTGGGAGGAGCCGAAAGCGCCCTGGAGGCAAGGACCCAGCTTCACAGGTGGTCTCAGGCCCCCCACCCAGCCTCCACCCAGGGGCACGCCAGGGGGTCGGGCCGGGGCACACAGGCCGAGCCTGACCTGCTGGATGGTGGGGTCCCCGGCGCGGTTGGTCAGGCGGCTCAGGATGCTGCGCTCCGACATCTGCAGCCGGGCGGCCACCGGGGGGATGCGGGACAGCATGGATGGCAGCCGGGTCACGTCCGCCTTCATGTCGCTCAGCAGCTCCTCCAGCTGGTTCAGGACTGTGGTGGGAGGCAGAGGGATGGCAGGATGGAGGGATGGAGGGGTGAAGGGATGGAGGGATGGAAGGATGGAGGAATGGAAAGGTGGAGGGATGGAGAGATGGAGGGGTGGAAGGGTGGAGGGATGGGGGGTTGAAGGGTGGAGGGATGGAGGGATGGAGGGATGGAGGAGTGGAGGGATGGAGGGGTAGAAGGATGGAGGAATGGAAGGGTGGAGGGATGGAGAGATGGAGGGGTGGAAGGGTGGAGGGATGGAGGGATGGAGGGATGGAAAGATGGAGGAGTGGAGGGATGGAGGGATGGAGGGGTGGAAAGATGGAGGGATGATGGAGGGATAATGGAGGGAAGACAGAAATGGAAGGAAGATGGAGGCATGGAGGAATGATGGAGAGATAGAAGGATGATGGAATGGAGGGGTGGAAGGATGGACGAATGGAGGGGTGGAAGGATGGAGGGATGGAGGGATGGAAGGGTGGAAGGATGGAGGGGTGGAGGGATGGAGGGATGGAAGGGTGGAGGGATGGAGGGATGGAGAGGTGGAGGGATAGAGGAGTGGAGGGATGGAGGGATGATGGAGGGATAATGGAGGGAAGATGGAGGAATGGAAGGAAGATGGAGAGATGGAATGATGGGAGAGATGGAAGGATGATGGAGGTATTGAGGGGTGGAAGGATGGATGAATGGAGGGGTGGAAGGATGGAGGGATGGAGGGATAATGTAGGGATAACAGAGGAATAATGGAGGGATAATGGAGGGATGGAGGGAAGATGGAGGGATGGAGGGATGATGGGATGATGGAGTGATGGAGGGATGGAGGGATGGAGGGATGGAAGAATGGAGAGGTGGAAGGATGGAGGGATGGAGAGATCATATAGGGATAATGGAGGGAAGATGGAGGAATGATGGAGGGATAATGAAGGGATGATGGAGAGATGAAGGGATGATGGTGGGATGGAAGGGTGGAGAGATGGAGGGATGATGGAGGGATGGAGGGATAATGAAGGAATGATGGAGAGATGGAGGAATGATGGAGA